GGAATTCTGGGGGAAAAATGGGAATTTTTGGCAAAAAACCAGGATTTTAAAGGGGAAAAATGGGAATTTTTGGAGGGGAAAAATGGAATTTTTGGAGGGGAAAATTGGGATTTTTGGATGGAAAATTGGGATTTTAGGAAATGATGGAATTCTGGGAAAAATCCTGGGAATTCTGGGGGAAAAAATGGGAATTTGGGGAGAAAAAAGTGGGGATTTTGGGGGAAAAATGGAATTTTTGGAGGGGAAAATTGGGATTTTTGGAGGGAAAATTGGGATTTTAGGAAATGAGGGAATTCTGGGAAAAATCCTGGGAATTCTGGGGGAAAAATGGGAATTTAGGGGAAAAAAATGGGATTTTAATGAGAAAAATTGGAATTTTAGAGGGAAAAATGGGAATTTTTGGGGGTGAAATGAGGTTTTTGGAGGGGAAAATTGGGATTTTAGGAAATGAAGGAATTTTTGGAAAAATCCTGGGAATTCTGGGGGAAAAAATGGGAATTTGGGGGAAAAAAATGGGATTTTAAGGGGGAAAAAATGGGAATTTCTTTGGGGAAAAATGGGATTTTAAAGGGAAAAAATGAGATTTTTTTGGGGGGGTAAAATGTAATTTTGGGAAAATTGGGGTTTTGGAGGGAAAATTGGGATTTTTGGAAAAGATGGAATTTTGGGAAAAACCCCTGGGAATTCTGGGGAAAAAAATGGGAATTTGGAGGAAAAAAATGGAGTTTTAAGGGGGAAAAACCGGAATTTTTGGGGAAAAAATGGGATTTTAGAGGGCAAAAATGGGAATTTTTGGGGGTGAAATGGGGGTTTTAGAGGGGAAAATAGGGATTTTTTGGAAAAGATGGAATTTTGGGAAAAACCCTGGGAATTCTGGGGGAAAAACGAGAATTTGGGGGCAAAACGGGAATTTGGGGGGAAAAAGTGAGTTTTAGGGGGATAAAATTGGAATTTTTTGGGGAAAAATGGGAATTTTAGAGGGAAGAAATGGGAATTTTTGGGGGTGAAATGGAAATTTTGGTGGGAAAATTGGGATTTTTGGGAAAAGATGGAATTTTGGGAAAAATCCTGGGAATTCTGGGGAAAAAATGGGAATTTTGGGGAAAATTCCTGGGATTTTGGGGGAATCTTGGGAATTTTGGGAAAAGTCTTGGAATTCTGCAAAAAACCAGAATCTGGGAGGAAAATCCTGGGAATTTTGGGGAAAAACAATCAGAATTTTGGGGAAAATTCCTGTAATTTTGGGAAAAATCTGGGAATTTGGATAAAAACATTGGGATTCTTTGGGGAAAAAATCAGGAATTTGGGGAAAAATCTGGAAATTCTGGGAAAAATCAGAATTTGGGGAGAAATATCCTGGGAATTTGGGGGGAAAAAATCAGAATTTGGGGGGAAAATCCTGGGAATTTTAGGGAAAAATCAAGATTTGGGGGAAAAAAAATCAGAGTTTTGGGGAAAATCCTGGGAATTTTGGGAAAATCTGGGAATTTTGGGAAAAAACAGAATCTGGGGGAAATCCTGGGAATTTGGGGGGAAAAAATCAGAACTTGGGGGGGAAAATTCTTCGAATTTTGGGGAAAACCCCAGGAATTTTGGGAAAAATCCCTGAAATTCTGGAAAAACCGCTTGGAATCCTGGGAATGTTGGGAATTTTGGGAATGTTGGGAATTCTGGGATTAACCCTTTGTGGTCAGAGCTGTCCCCGCTGTGGACGCTGTCCCTGTCCTGCAACGCTCTGGGTGGGAATGGTGGGAATTCTGGGGGAAATCCCGGGAATTTGGGGGAAAATCCTGGGAATTTTCGGAAAAATCTGGGAATTCTGGGAAGAATCAGAATTTGGTGGGAAAATCCTGGGAATTTGGGGGGAAAAATCAGAATTTTGGGGGAAAATCCTGGGAATTTTGGGGTAAAAAATCAGGAGTTTGGGGAAAATTCCTGGAATTCGGGGGAAATCTTGGGAATTTGGATAAAAACACTGGGATTCTTTGGGGAAAAAATCGGGAATTTGGGGAAAAATCTGGAAATTCTGGGAAAAATCAGAATTTGGGGGAAAAATCCTGGAAATTTGGGGGGAAAAAATCAGAATTTGGGGGGAAAATCCTGTGAATTTTAGGGAAAAATCAAGATTTGGGGGAAAAAAAAAATCAGAATTTTGGGGAAAATCCTGGGAATTTTGGGAAAATCTGGGAATTTTGGGAAAATCTGGGAATTTTGGGAAAAAACAGAATCTGGGGGAAAATCCTGGGAATTTGGGGGGAAGAAATCAGAACTTGGGGGGGAAAATCCTTCGAACTTTGGGGAAAACCCCAGGAATTTTGGGAAAAATCCCTGAAATTCTGGAAAAACCGCTTGGAATCCTGGGAATGTTGGGAATTTTGGGAATTCTGGGAATTCTGGGATTAACCCTTTGTGGTCAGAGCTGTCCCCGCTGCGGACGCTGTCCCTGTCCTGCAACGCTCCGGGTGGGAATGGTGGGAATTCTGGGGAAAATCCCGGGAATTTTGGGGGAAAATCCTGGAAATTCTGGGAAAAGCGCTTGGAATGTTGGGAATTTTGGGAATTTTGGGATTAACCCTTTGCGGTCAGAGCTGTCCCCGCTGCGGACGCTGTCCCTGTCCTGCAACGCTCCGGGTGGGAATGGTGGGAATTTTGGGGAAAATCCCGGGAATTTTGGGAAAAATCCTGGAAATTCTGGGAAAATTTCAGGAATGTTGGGAATGTTGGGAATTGTGGGATTAACCCTTCGTGGTCAGAGCTGTCCCTGCTGCGGACGCTGTCCCTGTCCTGCAACGCTCTGGGTGGGAATGGCGGGAATTCTGGGGAAAATCCCGGGAATTTTGGGAAAAGCGCCTGGAATCCTGGGAATGTTGGGAATTCTGGGAATTCTGGGATTAACCCTTTGCTGTCAGAGCTGTCCCCGCTGCGGACGCTGTCCCTGTCCTGCAACGCTCTGGGCCCGGCCGGGCTCGGGAAGCTCCTGAGGACGATCCCGGGCCGGAACATCCGGAACCTGGAGCTGGATTCGGTCAGCGGGAAAAAGCGGAGCGGAGGAACCCTGGGAACGGAGCTGGGCTGGCTCCTCAGGCAGGTACGGGAATGTTGGGAATGATGGGAATGATGGGAATGATGGGAATGGCGGAACCCTGGGAACGGAGCTGGGCTGGCTCCTCAGGCAGGTACGGGAACGGCGGGAATGGCGGGAATGATGGGAATGATGGGAATGGTGGGAATGTTGGGAATCCTGGGAATTCTGGGAATGATGGAACCCTGGGAACGGAGCTGGGCTGGCTCCTCAGGCAGGTACGGGAATGATGGGAATGATGGGAATGTTGGGAATTCTGGGAATGGTGGGACCCTGGGAACGGAGCTGGGCTGGCTCCTCAGGCAGGTACGGGAATGTTGGGAATGATGGGAATGATGGGAATGGCGAGAATGATGGGAATTCTGGGAATTCTGGGAACGGAGCTGGGCTGGCTCCTCAGGCAGGTATGGGAATGTTGGGAATGATGGGAATGGTGGGAATTCTGGGAACGGAGCTGGGCTGGCTCCTCAGGCAGGTACGGGAATGTTGGGAATGACGGGAATTCTGGGAATGATGGGAATGGCGGAACCCTGGGAACGGAGCTGGGCTGGCTCCTCAGGCAGGGACGGGAATGGCGGGAATGGCGGGAATGATGGGAATGACGGGAATTCTGGGAACGGAGCTGGGCTGGCTCCTCAGGCAGGTACGGGAATTCTGGGAATGATGGGAATGATGGGAATGACGGGAATGATGGGAATGATGGGAATGTTGGAACCCTGGGAACGGAGCTGGGCTGGCTCCTCAGGCAGGTACGGGAATGACGGGAATGACGGGAATTCTGGGAATTCTGGGAATGTTGGAAGCCTGGGAACAGAGCTGGGCTGGCTCCTCAGGCAGGTACGGGAACGGCGGGAATGATGGGAATGACGGGAATGGTGGAACCCTGGGAACGGAGCTGGGCTGGCTCCTCAGGCAGGGACGGGAATGATGGGAATGATGGGAATGATGGGAATGATGGGAATTCTGGGAACGGAGCTGGGCTGGCTCCTCAGGCAGGGACGGGAATCGTGGGAATATTGGGAATTCTGGGAATTCTGGGAATGGTGGAACCCTGGGATCGGAGCTGGGCTGGCTCCTCAGGCAGGTACGGGAATGGCGGGAATTCTGGGAATGATGG